TTTTTTTTTTTTTTCACTTAACATGTTGACCTGGAGATGACATCACATCAGTTGATAGAGACTTTCTTTATCCCTTTTCACAGCTGCGTTAAGTACTACATTTTGTAAATAGAGCACAGTTTTCTCAGTCAGTCCCCTATTAATGGACATTTGGCTTATTTCTAGATTTTTGCTATAACAAATTATGCCATAGTGAATAGAATAGTATATATGCTGTTTTGTATTTTTACCAAAATATCTATGGAAATTGCAATATTCTTAGAAGAGGAATAGCTTGGTCAAAAGGTAAATACATATGTAATTTTAGTAGATACTGATACCAAACAACCCTTAAAATGTTGTACTATTTTTGAATTCCTAAAGACAATATATGAGATTGTTTCTTTCTGCACAGCCTGACCAACACATATATTGTCTTTATTTTCCCCCACCTGATAGGTGAGCAATGGCTCTTCAGTGCAGTTTTAATTACAGTTCTTTTGTTATGAGCAAGAGGTTAAGGACCAAGTTTACATTTATATTCTGTTTTCTGTAAACTATTCCTTCTTGTCTCTAGCTCATTTTTTTTCTATTTTTTTTTTTGGGGGGGGGGCAAAGATATTTTAATTGTAGTTTAAGCTACCAAACGTTTTCCTATTGCTTATGCATTTAGTCATAAGTAAGAATGTTTTTCCTACTCCCAGGTTATAGAAAACTTCATCCATACTTTCTTACAGTTCTTATTTGTACCTAAGATTTTAAACACGTTCCCAAAGAGACATTTATGTACACCAAAGTGTCAGTTTACAAATCCAAGTTTATGAAGTAGTGTCAAACATTGCAGTTGTCTACATGAGACATATTTAATAATCTGTCATGTTCACACTTGTCTTCATTCTTCTAAATGGCGTCAGTCTGAAGTCGTCTTGCCTGCATGGTAAAATGTTTGTTAGTAAAGCAGAAAGAGTATTTCCAGACTAACGTATGCCTTTTATGAATGAACATATTCAATCATTGAAAACTTTACCTTTCTAAAAGAAGGTAATGTAAACCATTACGATGCAGCCCACAATCCAGGCAATCAAGAGAAGAATAGGGACCAGAATGCGTGATGATGTAGATTCTGTTTAAAAATAAACAAAACAGAACAGATTTGGTAGGTCATTTGGGCATTTTATCTCCTGAAACAAGAGAATAAGAGGGATCTGGTAATAACAAGGGAATAAATACACTCT